TAAGTAAATACGGTAACACCTTTCATCGAAATTAAAAAAAAACGATATACAGAAATATTTATCTTAGTGAAGTTTATGTATGTGCCAAGTTATATTGAAATCAGACCAAAACTGTAGGAGGAGTAGCATTTTGAATAGTTTTTTACAGACGGACGGACGAGGACGCATTACTATAGCATAAGCTCTTCTCCTGACCAGTAGAGCTAAAAAAGAAGACCACATTCAGAAAATGGGAACATAACAATGAGACAGGGTATTGACCAAAAGCTAATAACAAAAGGTTACATGTATCGACATTTTTTTTTAAAATAAATTAGGAAAGTCTATGATTGATGAATGATGCATAAACTTTGTTTTCAAATTTTAAAAAACGCCTTGAATTTGAATGTTGAATGACGTCTTTGATAGAAATTGTTAGAAAATAATTTTAGACAGAAATGATTATGAATTTTTCCCGCTTAGCCAACAAGGACTAATCTGCTATATTTGAACATTATGCTTTCCTAAAACCCGCTGACTATATCTACCTTAAGAAATTCTAGTTTATGATCAATGTGTCTTATTGTAGAATTTTGATGAAAATTTTGATGAAAACGTTGTAATTTTCATCCACCAAGCACCCTATATTAAATATGAAAAGTACTGATCTGCTGGGTATATAGCAAATATCGTGTCACTGTTGGTGCGATAAAAAAAACCCTCTCTGAGTAACTATATGTAATGTGACGCTGAATAACATACAATCAATTCGTCAATGTAACTTTATTGGAACGACTTTTTCTTGTTTTAATTCACTAGTTATTTAAAAATTAAAATGCTAGAGTATACTTCGAAAATTAATGCACTGTTTTAACGGGGAATTCAATTAATATAAAATATAACCTGTTTGTGCTGTAGGAATAGACAGTGAAATTGTAGAGTGCCTATTTTGGTCTGAAAACAGAAAGTCATCACTCAGTAAAAGTTATAAAAATGGAATACAAAAACACCCCTCGAAATTCAAGATAAATTCTAGAGGCGGATCGGGTACCTAGGAGAAGTAAACATCCCCTGTTGGCTGGTCACCCGTCGTGAGTTTTAGGTAATAATCAAGCGACAGAACCTCTGTAGTCTTTACAATTAATATGAAATAAGTTAGCCAAAATATAATCCTATTATTGGTTATATTTGCTATAATGTTGACGTATCGACAATAGAATTTACGCAATGCTGAAAATGATATGAATAATAATTAGGTATTTTTATCATATTAATTATCATTTACCCTGTGATAAAATTTATGTTTGAAATTGAATTAACACAGTAAAGATGAATAGATTAGTATGAGTTGTAAAAAAAAAATTTAAAAACATTTTTTGACAGTATTTCTTTTTTAACATTCAAGCATACTTCTCGATCAAACAAATGAATAATTGTACCTTGACAAAATAGCAGTAAGGAGTTGATCCTAACTTCGCGGGTTCGAATTCGATCATGAGACATCTGCTCTAAAAACGCAAAGTAAGGAATTGATTCTTACATCGTGGATTCGAATTCGATTACGGGACGTGGAGACCAAATCCTTCTGCTGACACATATTTAGACCGAGGTCCTGTGTCGCAGTATGTGCTGGCACGAAGAAGATCCCTTACTACTGAATTGCCCTAGTTGCTGAGCATGTCAAAATTTGCAACTTTCCATCAGTAAGTGGAAGCGTCTCGATATTGGTGAAAAATTATCCTAAGAGACGTTAACCAACAAACAAACAAAACCTTGACAGAATCCGCAGCTCTTCTCACAATTCCTTCTGGCCCAAGTGTAGAAAGGACCATTCACATCACAAATTGCAGTTGAATTGTAAAGAGCACAGTTAGCACTTGGTTCATCTTTGCATAAAGCTACTACAAAAATATTTACTAGTACATGTACATTAATTAACCATTTTATATGTACCTAAACTATAGCTATACACATTGAAAAATATTTCAAATCCATTACTTTTATAATACCAGTTTACTCTTCATTTTCAAATATAATTATCCAAATGTTTGGATTTTTATTATTTGATTTAAAAGAAAAAATTTCTTCGGAATATATAAAAATGTTATATAATTCTTGCTTGCGTACCGTGACAAAATCCACAGAACAGAGGACAGTGTTTCCTTGCCCAGAGGTAATAAGCACCGTGTAGATCACATATAACCGTGGCGTTGTAGAGAGAACAATTGGCACTGGGGCTGTCGTTGCAGGCTGTTCAAAGAATCAACGATAATTATGTGTTTATCATGTTTATTAGAAGCTAAAAATGCATGCAGAAGATTCTGTTTATCGTATAAGATATTTTTGTTTTTAAAAATTGTATAATGCCAATAAACAATATTCTTTCAATTTTCTACTCTGAACTTTTTCAAAACAAATCATTATTTTATAATGAAAATAATAAGAGTATGCTGGAGTAGACTTAGAAAATCAAATGCACTGTTTTAAGTGGAAATTTATAATAAAGTGATTTAAAACATAACCTGTTTGTGCTGTAGAAATAGACGGTGGTATTGTTGAGTGCGTACGCGTATTTTGCTCGAAAACAGAAAGTCACCACTAATTAGAAGTTATAAAAATATCTTGGATGTGGGAGATATTCTTTTCCAAAAGTAATTTACTGTATTGTACGTGATAAATACTATATAGTATACTAAAGCCAGACACATTTATTATTATTTCTTGATTTCAATTTCTTTAAGTATTTCATTAAGCCTTTATATACTAACTTTCAGAAGCTAAAAGTGATGTCCGTGTTGAGGATGGAGTTGTAAAAGGAGTTGTCCAAGTAACTTCATTAGAAAAAGAAAATATCCAATATAAAACACCACGAATAATGTAAAAAAAATATTTTTGGATATTTTACTGTAAAAATTGTAACACAAAAAAAAAGGACTACTTTCCTAAATTTTGCAGCAGTACACCATACATTTTCATTTGCATATGGAGTTTAATTTTCCATGTTTATTGATACTCAAGATTATGCTCTTCGCACAATTTCTTCAAAGGAACAGGCTATTGACAAATAATTATTTAAATTCCCAAAAATCGGCATTAATTTTTCAAGGTCAACATTTCGCAAATTCTATGTTTTAAACAATAGCATTGGTAAGAAAAGCAATTTTTGTGAAGTCAAATGCTAACTGCGTTCAAACAAAGTGATATTTTATACTGAATTATTTAAGTTTTTCTTGATAATGACAAAACAATGCATTATTAAATATATGGAGATCGAACAATATTTAAGATTAAAGTCGATAAAATAATACAAAATAGGAGCGTAGCAAACACGGACCTGGAAAACATTACAGTTGGGGTCTGGTTCCATGAAGGAGTGAGCATCTCCGCAGTGCTCCTTGTCATGATCGCAAAATAACGGGAAAATGAAGGATATGGAGTTAGCGAACAAGTATTCAGTTTCAAAGTCCATAAAACAATACAAAATAAGAGCAGAGCAAACACTGACCCCCAAAACATTAGAGGTTAGATGAGGTGAAATGGAGGAGTGAGCATCCCTTGCCGATTGGTCACACCTGCCTTGTGCTCCTTGTCATGATCGGGAAATACGGAAAAATCTGTCGTCAATTCAGTGTATAAATATTGGACTAACAATAAGTATGAAAACCATCAGTCAGAATTTTACTCAATAATAATTTATATTTGCAGACAAGGTATTGTATGGATCATAGAACTTACGAAATCATGACTTTCAATGAGACTGCTGATACTGGTATTCTTGTTTCATCAACTTCTTTATAACAATTTACCTCGTTTAAGAAATTGCTTATACTTGAGCATCCCCTTGTTTATCGAATCACTGTGATATTACACTCCCGTATGAATGTGATGAAGGTATATTGCTGCATAAGGGAAACTTGACGATAGAGACGTTAAAGTCGTCACGTTTATTTTAGAGTTTAGTTTAATTAACAATGGAAGTAACCACTGTTAATTGACAATACGTCGTCGATTTATCTAAATGTCGAGTTGAAGGCCATAGCAAGTGTTGTCGTCTTTCCACGCGTACTATTTTGCACAAATTCTGCTTCATTTGAATAAAAAATAGGTTATTATCGATTATCCTTTGATAATCACGTATAATCTGTTAAAATGAAGATATCATTCTTGATAGTCCATGTAAATTACGACTTAGGAGCAGAGCAAACATGGGTCGCTAAAACATTAGAGGTGGGACCAGTATCATGGAGGAATAAGTATCCTTTGTCAACGGGTCACATACGCGGTATGCTCCTTGTCATCTTCAGGTTAAGTTTCAAAAAAAAAACTATTTTTTTGCCACATAAAAATGTGATAATCATTTGAATATCTCTTTCTATAATCTTTTTACTTTCATTTATATTACAAGAATAAGGACAAAGGGATTTAGAAATCATCCGGTTTTGTGTTTCCTATTGTAATCGTGACAAGAAACACATGATGGGTGTGACAGATATTTCCTCCTTCGTGGCACCTGGTCCCACCTTAACTGTTGAGCAAAATTACAGTTCGTTATCTTCGTATATCATATAAAAATAAGTATACATCACGCTAATGAGAAAATATTATTATTCAGATATCCTGTTGAAGAGATTGTTATTTTCTAAGGGAAAAGGATGAATGGCTTTTTAATTCTATCTTTTGATGTGTGAAGCAAATTCTAGTATTTACTGTAGTATATAGAAGTATGAAGATAAACAAGCTTTCTTCGCCATTGGTAAGAGAAATGAAATAGTTATTTCTAGAATGTACCTGGAGTACCGGTATATTTACACATACTACAAACAAATGGACACAGAGGTCTGGTGTCATTCGAGATGCAGGATTGTGGGTAAGTAGAATAACAAAATGGAGGATCCCTAAAAAGTATACATGTATACAACCATTTGGTAAGCATTTATCGAAATACCACGTAAAACTAAAATCTTAAACATCCATTGATATAATATAAGTTCTGTACTTTGTTTATGAATATTTTATGCTGAATTTCTTTCTCTCTTTAGAGCTTCCCTTTAATATGCCGACGGTCCATTAATTTTTTTGCAATTGCAGCCGTGCCCATAAGCGCTTAATAAAAGAGTTACATGTATATACTGTACTTATATCTTAGAACTCTGCTTCTTCATTTCACTGTTCTGAGAAAAAATCAATCTCTTACTTTGGAAATCTCTTTGTCCAACTCCTCGGAATGAATATGTTTAATTCGTTTAAACATGTTTTTTAATTATGACCCACTATCACCCCTAATACAAACTTTCCATCACAGTTATGGATGCCAGAACGTTTCCCATTCTTTATTGCAGGGTTTTCTGTGGGGACATTCACTACCGGGAAAAAGACTCCACTGTCACCATGCCTAAATAATACGGATCATGAAGTTAGTTAAGCCTTAAGAAATCAATTTAATAGCTACTGGAAGCGTATTAGTGCCACTTGGACACTTTTTTTTTTTTTATTTCAACACTTTAATCGGTAAATTTTTTAGTCTGTAGAATTTACACTTTAATCTGTAAAATTGAGACTTTAATTTGTAAATTGTACACTTTAATCTGTGAATTTTACACTTTATTCTGAGCAGCCTGTACTGTAATCTGTTAACATTAAAATTACGGTCATTAAACGAATTTGCATATGATGATATCAATAACATATTCACTGAGAATACATACGGTACTTAGTAATAAATACAGGTTTTTTTGCATATATGCGATATGGCTGACGTCACAATAGCCGTATCAGCCCTGCAGGACTGATATGGATTTGCGGGGCTGATATAGGTTATCAACCCTGCAGGGCTGATAGGGATTAATATCACATCCCTAGTAAATTAAACCTCAAAAAACAGTAATTGTGATCATACACATATTTTGGGGGTTACATAATTCTCTTAACGACAGATGATACAAACAATTTTTTCTTTGAAAAAGATTAAATATCATGTCACAAGTTTAGAAAAGTGGATGGATCTTAAAAAATTTATTCTTCGAAGAACTAGAAAATGAAATGGACTTGGAAAATATTAGTAATATTTCAAAGAAAAAACAAATATTGACAAATCACACTCAGTAAAGGTTTAAAGGTGAAAACAAATTTCAGAAATATGTTACCTTGGTGCTAAAAGTGTAATATTAACTTTTGAAAAATATACCAAGCCAGGTGAATTTTAAGAGGCATATCAAAATGACAAAAATTTAGCAATATCACATAGGGTGATTTTTACCATTTAGCTTTACCTAATAAAATTCACCTGGCTTGGTATATTTTTCTTAAGTTTATATTACACTTTTAGCACGATGGTAACATATTCTGAAATTTGTTTTTACCTGTAAACCTGTACTGAATGTGATTTGTCTATATTTGGTTTTTCATTGAAATATTACTTATATTTTCCAAGCCTTTTTCATACTCCAGTTCTTAGGTGAAAAAATTCTAACCTAAAGAAAAATCCACTTTTCTAAATTTGTGACATGATATTAAATCTTTTTCAAGAAAAAAATTGTTTGTACCATCTGTCCTTAATTTTAATACCTTTTTGAATGTAATGATAATATAATTGATAAAAATAGATTATTTTAAAATTACGAATTGGGGACATTTGAAATAGAAGTACATGCAGAAACAAACCGAAACTGTATGAGAAAATAGACTGTGTACATTTTAAGAAGATTATTGTTAAACCTTGTATCATATATATTTCTTTTCATAACAATAAATACATTTTCTTTGTGATAATAAATAATTTTTATTGGCAATGTCCCTGTGTTTAAATTTTATTTCAACCACATTACAACAAACACAAAATTAACACCTGAATTTTGTTTAATTTACGAGGGTAAATTTGAAATTTCAATAGATTAATTACTCCTACTTAGAAAAGAATATGAAATTGAACAATTTGAGCAAGTTTTATAAATATGTTTACGGAATGAAAACATTTTCAATCGTAGAGATAAGAAAGAAATGTACGTTCCCTATATTCTTCCATTAAGAATATATATTAAGTAGAAAATATGAGACGACTCTAATAAGCAACCCCTTGATCCTGTAAACTGGCAAAGACGTTTTGCGTAACACAATTAAAAATTATTTTTTACATGAAAATGATCATTTAAAAGTACGTGACTGAAATGTACGTTACCATAAAATTTCGAATTAAGTGAATCTCGCACAATTTTCATGTATTCTCATATTTCATACACTCGAATGTGTACACAAAGGAAATTTTCAAAGGTTGTAGGTCGGCTAAATCCCAAAATTAATGAAAAGAACGTTTCTGCTAGGAAAAAAATATATTAAGGTCAATTATATGTAATATAATTTTGATCCCTTTATATATTTCTAAACGAATCCTTTTATCATTTCTTATCATATGCAAGTTCGAATAGTATCAATATATTGCGTGTCTAACGTACGCTTGTGGAAGAGAATTGTTTTTTAAATTTTTTAAATGTAGTTACGTATGGTAACGTACTTTTTTGTATTTTTATAAATTTTTTTTTAATTTAGTCAATGAATTGCGTTTACACGAGCGAAACAAAATTATCGTTACAACCCTTTTAAAACCGGGCCAAATAAATCCATCAAAATCACCCCAACCCAAATTTTTTAAACTGTTACCACATGCTAGAAAATTTATTTCAAAGTGTCTTAAATTATCTTTGGCAACCTTTTTGCAGTTTGTTTACTTTTAATATACGACTTTTCGTCAATATTAATTTAATTGTTGTTGATAATTTAAAACAAGGTATGCATAGGCTTATAATTGGTAAAAAAAGAAACAAAAAATAGAAAAAAAGAAACAAATAGGCCTAAACCCAGAACACAAGACGGTCACGTACATTTCAAATACTGAAAGGCCCCAATACTCATTTTGTTTAATTATTGCATTTTTGGGGTTTTATTTTTCCAGATCGCGAAAAGCACGTATGCTTGTGTTTTGAAAAAAAAGTTGCAACATACTAAATGAAACTGTTAACAAACTGTCGATGAAAATTTGGAAAATTTATGTCAAGTTTCAATGGCCAAACACGAGCATTTGTTAGATCATAGCAAAATACGTCTACTCTTATATTTTTTGTCTGTACCCTTGCACACAGGTAGAAATAACCAGGCTACGACCGGTGTCAATTTCAGCGAAATAGCACAAAAGAATGGTAATGAACTGAGGGGGAGGGGATCTCCAAAATATGTGAAAAAAGTTACCGAAAGGGCGTGACATTCATGTAGTTGATGACAAATAACCTCGTTTGTTACATTATGATTTTTTAAAACTGCCTTAAAAGCTTCATTAAAATGATTTTTATGTCAATAATTGCTTTTTTTAAAAAATTTTTTTTACTAATTTACATATTATTACAAGCTTGAAATTACGTTTCCTACTCATATTCTAGGAATCATGTCTTTATAATTGTGATTGCGACATATAACACAATGTGATTACATAGAGAATCTTTTTTTTAAAAAACTGAAAAAAAACAGTTTTTAATAATTTTAAGTATTTTATTAAACAGAAATATATCTTGAAAGTACGTTACATTTACGTAGTTTTTAATCGCATGGATATATGTTAAAAAAGACAGTAACTACAAAATAGAATTTTACTACATGTACATGTTAGGTTCCAGTATCTATAGAAAATGACAAGATTCCAAAACTGATCGCTCTAAACAAAACAGAGAGAAGAATTTAAAGCATATATTTAAAAAATGTTTTTATACATCTGGATCAAAAAGTAACCATTGTTTTTTGAAAGGAAAAATCAAACGCAAGTTCGTATGCTGAGAAAATATGTTGCTGACAGAGTTGGTAGGATGTGCTGGTGTTAAGATGAGCTATTCCGATTGTGATTTTAATGACTACATTTTTTTTTACATATCTTTTTGGACATTGAAGAAAGAGTAACGTACATTTCAAGCTACATTTCTAAATAAAATCACCCTCTGCTTTATCGTCTTGTCATTATTCCATGTATTATAATTTGATGAAAAAAAATCTGGAAACAAAATCTTCAGATACTTTCTTTCAAAGATAATTGATAGAAAAATTGTTTTCTTGAACTTCATTTTTTTAAAAATCAGAGAGGCATTTGTGCCCTTATATTGAGAATGGGTGTTCTCTGCTTCTTCATTTCACTGTTCTGAGAAAAAATCAATCTCTTATTTTTGGAAATCTCTTTGTCCAACTCCTCGGAATGAATATGTTTAATTCGTTTAAACATGTTTTTTAATTATGACCCACTATCACCCCTAATACAAACTTTCCATCACAGTTATGGATGCCAGAACGTTTCCCATTCTTTATTGCAGGGTTTTCTGTGGGGACATTCACTACCGGGAAAAAGACTCCACTGTCACCATGCCTAAATAATACGGATCACGAAGTTAGTTAAGCCTTAAGAAATCAATTTAATAGCTACTGGAAGCGTATTAGTGCCACTTGGACACTTTATTTTTTTTTTATTTCAACACTTTAATCGGTAAATTTTTTAGTCTGTAGAATTTACACTTTAATTGTAAAATTGAGACTTTAATTTGTAAATTGTACACTTTAATCTGTGAATTTTACACTTTATTCTGAGCAGCCGTACTGTAATCGTTAACATTAAAATTACGGTCATTAAACGAATTTGCATATGATGATATCAATAACATATTCACTGAGAATACATACGGTACTTAGTAATAAATACAGGTTTTTTTGCATATATGCGATATGGCTGACGTCACAATAGCCGTATCAGCCCTGCAGGACTGATATGGATTTGCGGGGCTGATATAGGTTATCAACCCTGCAGGGCTGATAGGGATTAATATCCCCATCCCTAGTAAATTAAACCTCAAAAAACAGTAATTGTGATCATACACATATTTTGGGGGTTACATAATTCTCTTAAGAAATGATAAAAACAAATTTTTTCTTTGAAAAAGATTAAATATCATGTCACAAGTTTAGAAAAGTGGATGGTCCTTAGAAATTTTTCTCTGAAAAACTGGAAAATGAAATAGACTTTGGGAAAAAATTAGTAATATTTCAAAAAAACAAAACAAATATAGACAAATCACATTAGAAAGGTTAACATGTACAGGTAAAACAAATTTAGAATATGTTACCTTGGTGCTAAAAATGTAATATTAACTTTTGAA